CGAAAAGAAATAGTGAAGCAAAATGTCGGACTCTGCAGTGGCAACATCCGCGTCCCCAGTGGCTGCCCCACCAGCGCCAGTTGAGAAGAAGGTGGCCGCCAAAAAGGCATCTGGATCAGGAGCTACAAAGGCAAAGAAGGCTGCAGTCCCGCCATCACATCCGCCAACTCAGCAAATGGTGGACGCTTCCATCAAGAACTTGAAGGAACGTGGGGGCTCATCGCTTCTGGCAATCAAGAAATATATCACTGCCACCTACAAATGCGACGCCCAAAAACTGGCTCCATTCATCAAGAAGTACTTGAAGTCTGCAGTGGCCAATGGAAAGCTGATCCAAACAAAGGGAAAGGGTGCTTCTGGTTCCTTCAAACTGTCAGCCTCTGCCAAAAAGGAGCCCAAGCCAAAGGTTGCGGCTGCTGAGAAGAAGGTCAAAACCAAGAAGGTAGTCACCAAGAAAGCCGGGGCCACCGCAAAGAAAGCTGCCGGTGCTGCTGACAAGAAACCCAAGGCTAAGAAGGCCGTTGCCACCAAGAAGACTGCCGAGAAGAAGAAAACTGAGAAGGCAAAGGCCAAGGATGCTAAGAAAACTGGAGTTGTAAAGGCAAAGCCAGCAGCAGCGAAAGCTAAGCCGGCCGCCGCAAAGCCAAAGGCAGCCAAGGCACCAAAGGCCAAGGCAGCAGCGTCCGCCAAGCCCAAGAAGGCAGTAAAGAAAGCAACTGCTCCAGCTACCGCTAAGAAGCCGAAGGCCAAGACTACGGCGTCCAAGAAGTAAATTAAGATAATCTCTATTATCGCAATTTTAGATTTCGAATTCTGAAATTTGAAATTAATTTAAACAAGCCCTTTTCAGGGCTACAAAATCTTCTTAAAGAGACCAAAAATTATCAATGTTTTAAATATGGAGTTTTTAACTGTAGAGTAGATCCGCCTATACCAATTAAATCCTTTTTTAGGATTTGGTAATAGCATATCTCAGTGAAGTAGTCATTTCCGACCCTATAAATTATATATATTCTTGATCAGCATCAACAACTGAATCGATATAGCGTTGGTCGTGAGGAAAAAAAAATATTACTACATTTTTGGAACATTTTTTAAGGGGTTATATTATTGAAATTGCACATTTATTAACCCTATAAAACCGCAGAACAGCATTTTGTTTTAAAAATTTTACTTTTATTTATATATTAAATAAGAATAGGGCTCTTGAAAATTTCGTTTCTTTGGTAAAACTTGTTGTGGCCCTGAAAAGGGCCTTTTTAATGTTCCTCCGCATCTGCGAGAAAATTTACTTGGAGCTGGTGTACTTGGTGACAGCCTTGGTTCCCTCACTGACGGCGTGCTTAGCCAACTCTCCGGGCAGGAGCAGGCGAACAGCAGTTTGGATTTCCCGACTGGTGATGGTAGAGCGCTTGTTGTAGTGCGCCAGACGAGAAGCCTCGGCAGCAATACGCTCGAAGATGTCATTCACAAAGCTGTTCATGATGCTCATCGCTTTCGAGGAAATGCCAGTGTCGGGATGGACCTGCTTCAGGACCTTGTAAATGTAGATAGCATAGCTCTCCTTCCTCTTCCGCTTCTTCTTCTTGTCGTTCTTGGTGATGTTCTTCTGGGCCTTGCCAGCCTTCTTGGCTGCCTTTCCACTAGTTTTCGGCGGCATTATTTCACTTCACTTCACTGCACGATTCACTGATCATAGCAGTTCAGTTTTGGTGTTCGCTCTTATACTTTTTATCAAGCAATGTTTTCAGGTCTGTGGCGACCCACCCTTACTGAACGCACAGGCAGAGTCAAAAGTATAAATTCGTGAACATCGACCCTTCGAGCTACATTCGTTCTTCGTGTGTGTGAAGTGAATAAAGTGAAATAAGAGAAAATGTCTGGTCGTGGAAAAGGTGGCAAAGTAAGGGAAAGGCAAAGTCCCGCTCCAACCGTGCCGGACTTCAGTTCCCTGTCGGTCGCATTCATCGTCTGCTCCGCAAGGGCAACTACGCCGAGCGCGTTGGTGCCGGCGCTCCAGTTTACCTGGCTGCCGTTATGGAATATCTGGCCGCTGAGGTTCTCGAGTTGGCTGGCAATGCTGCTCGTGACAACAAGAAGACTAGGATCATCCCGCGTCATCTGCAGCTGGCCATCCGCAACGACGAAGAGTTGAACAAGCTGCTCTCTGGCGTCACCATTGCCCAGGGAGGTGTCTTGCCCAACATCCAGGCTGTCCTGTTGCCCAAGAAGACCGAGAAGAAGGCTTAAGCGTTTTAACAGCGTGCCAAGTCAAACTTGTACATAGAAACACAAACTCAAACCCAAACGTCCTTTTCAGGACGACCAAACCATTTCAAAAGAAACTACAATTTTCAAATATGCTTAAGTTTAAAATAATTAATTCATAAACTATTAAATACATTTTTTTATAGTTAAAGTAAGGTGGTCGGTATAAAGTGTAAAACTAAAATGGAGCAAAAATGCAGAAAGTACAGTCGTCAGGGGACAATTCCGGTGACAAACATTAGCATTAATTTTCTTGAAAATGTTGGGTACAGTTTGCATCTTAAAAACCGGGAATTCATTCCCATCGGGACTGTTTGAGCTACCTACGGCATGATTGCCTACCTACGAAAAGCCCGACCAATTAAAATGTATTAGGCGTTATTATTCGTCTGGAATAAATATGAAATATAGCAATGAAATTTGATTTGATAATTTTTCTCTTTTATGAAATTAAATGGTGGTCCTGAAAAGGACCGATTGTTGAGTACAGACTGTACTGATTTTTAACCGCCGAAACCGTACAGGGTGCGGCCTTGCCTCTTCAGGGCGTACACGACGTCCATGGCTGTGACTGTCTTCCTCTTGGCGTGTTCAGTGTAGGTGACGGCATCACGGATCACGTTCTCCAGAAACACCTTCAGAACACCACGGGTTTCCTCGTAAATGAGTCCAGAGATACGCTTCACGCCGCCACGCCGAGCCAGACGTCGGATAGCTGGCTTTGTGATACCCTGGATGTTATCACGCAGCACTTTGCGATGACGCTTGGCGCCACCTTTTCCCAAGCCTTTGCCTCCTTTACCGCGACCAGTCATTTTTCACTCTTTTATTTTAACACTTCGAAAGTCACCACTGAACTAATGTAGAAACGCCGTCGCCGCTTCTATTTATACCAAAACTCAGCATTGCACGAGTGAGCCCGAACGATTGGCCATCTCGCTCTGTGCTCGAAAAATGAGATGGCATCTGCTGCGGCTCTCTTTTCAACCCTCCACGTTTTGCTATATAAGTAGGTAGCAACGGGTTGCTCGTTTATTGTGTTTTCAGACTCGTGAAGTGAACAGTGACAAGAAGTAATATCTAAAATGGCTCGTACCAAGCAGACCGCTCGCAAATCTACTGGTGGCAAGGCACCACGCAAACAACTGGCAACCAAGGCCGCTCGCAAGAGTGCTCCAGCCACCGGTGGCGTGAAGAAGCCCCATCGCTATCGCCCAGGAACTGTGGCTCTGCGTGAGATCCGTCGGTACCAGAAGAGTACCGAGCTGCTGATCCGCAAGCTGCCTTTCCAGCGTCTGGTGCGTGAAATCGCTCAGGACTTCAAGACTGACCTGCGATTCCAGAGCTCTGCCGTAATGGCTCTGCAGGAAGCTAGCGAAGCCTATCTGGTTGGTCTCTTTGAAGACACCAACTTGTGTGCCATCCACGCCAAGCGAGTCACAATCATGCCCAAGGACATCCAGCTGGCCCGTCGCATCCGTGGCGAGCGTGCTTAAGTTGCTTTTGACTAGCAGCCAAAGCGGCAATACATTTTGTACAAATCGGTCCTTTTCAGGACCACAAATATCTTTAAAACTGAGACTATAAATTTTCATATCTATAATTATTAACATTTTTTAAATAAAACATTCTTGCGTTTTTCTGGTTAAATTTGTCAGAATGTATACATGGAAAATAAATACGTTCTTTAAATGTGTGTAGTAAGATACTTTTAGTAGGTATCGGTACAAAATTCGAAATACAAAGCAGATATTTTTAAAAGGTATGTTAAAGACTTATTTATGAACCATTTGTATGGAAAGGTTTATTCAAACATAATCCAGTATATTTTTTAATGCATAGTTTTTGAGATCGTAATGAAATGGGAATAAAAATGCTAATACAAGCAATAAGGCAAATATTCTATTAACAAAAATATATGTATATATAAGAGATAAAAAACTTTTTTGATACACCAGATACATTTACGATATTAAAATTTCACTATTAATTAAAAATCTAAAAATTTCATTCTTAAATGTATTTAATTTCGTCTCTCCTTGGGTAATAGACTCGGGTAAACTCTAATATGAATGTTGTATGGGGGACGTAATAGGGCATTACTAAGAAACGAATCCATAAATTCCCTTCAAAACTTTATTGACTGAAAGAACTTACTTATTTTTTTAATAAAATCAACAAAAATTAATATATTTTAATATATTTATATTTTTTAGGTAGTTAAAACCATATCCGATAGTACCAAGAAAGTCGACCATATTTTAATGAGAGGACCAGTTTAAAAGTGGTCGTAAAATACTTTTTGTTGTAAAAATTGCAACTATTTTTATTGTTTCTTCAAGTAAAAGGTTCAAATTTTACGTTTTCTTAAAAATGTTTAGTATCTTTAAAATATTTAATATTTTTACACATGATTTTTAACGAAATGCTATGCCTACAAATTTAAATCTTGAACTTCAGACAGCCATACAAAATGACCCAAAGACTTATTTCACCTTTTAATAAATGTAACTGTTTTATGAAACATTTAAGAACTAAAAATATTTAAAACCTTGTATCATTTAATTACACAACACAGGTAAAAGGAGAAAATGAAATTGCACATCGAGCAAACATTGGGAGCGTAAACGAGCGCTGCCAAACACATAGTTAAAGTGCTCTCCTCCTCGATTCTCAAAAAACTTTCTTAAGCACTTCAGTATGCTGCAATTTCTATACAAACAAAAGTGTTTTTCGTTAGTTTTCGAAAAGAAATAGTGAAGCAAAATGTCGGACTCTGCAGTGGCAACATCCGCGTCCCCAGTGGCTGCCCCACCAGCGCCAGTTGAGAAGAAGGTGGCCGCCAAAAAGGCATCTGGATCAGGAGCTACAAAGGCAAAGAAGGCTGCAGTCCCGCCATCACATCCGCCAACTCAGCAAATGGTGGACGCTTCCATCAAGAACTTGAAGGAACGTGGGGGCTCATCGCTTCTGGCAATCAAGAAATATATCACTGCCACCTACAAATGCGACGCCCAAAAACTGGCTCCATTCATCAAGAAGTACTTGAAGTCTGCAGTGGCCAATGGAAAGCTGATCCAAACAAAGGGAAAGGGTGCTTCTGGTTCCTTCAAACTGTCAGCCTCTGCCAAAAAGGAGCCCAAGCCAAAGGTTGCGGCTGCTGAGAAGAAGGTCAAAACCAAGAAGGTAGTCACCAAGAAAGCCGGGGCCACCGCAAAGAAAGCTGCCGGTGCTGCTGACAAGAAACCCAAGGCTAAGAAGGCCGTTGCCACCAAGAAGACTGCCGAGAAGAAGAAAACTGAGAAGGCAAAGGCCAAGGATGCTAAGAAAACTGGAGTTGTAAAGGCAAAGCCAGCAGCAGCGAAAGCTAAGCCGGCCGCCGCAAAGCCAAAGGCAGCCAAGGCACCAAAGGCCAAGGCAGCAGCGTCCGCCAAGCCCAAGAAGGCAGTAAAGAAAGCAACTGCTCCAGCTACCGCTAAGAAGCCGAAGGCCAAGACTACGGCGTCCAAGAAGTAAATTAAGATAATCTCTATTATCGCAATTTTAGATTTCGAATTCTGAAATTTGAAATTAATTTAAACAAGCCCTTTTCAGGGCTACAAAATCTTCTTAAAGAGACCAAAAATTATCAATGTTTTAAATATGGAGTTTTAACTGTAGAGTAGATCCGCCTATACCAATTAAATCCTTTTTTAGGATTTGGTAATAGCATATCTCAGTGAAGTAGTCATTTCCGACCCTATAAATTATATATATTCTTGATCAGCATCAACAACTGAATCGATATAGCGTTGGTCGTGAGGAAAAAAAAATATTACTACATTTTTGGAACATTTTTTAAGGGGTTATATTATTGAAATTGCACATTTATTAACCCTATAAAACCGCAGAACAGCATTTTGTTTTAAAAATTTTACTTTTATTTATATATTAAATAAGAATAGGGCTCTTGAAAATTTCGTTTCTTTGGTAAAACTTGTTGTGGCCCTGAAAAGGGCCTTTTTAATGTTCCTCCGCATCTGCGAGAAAATTTACTTGGAGCTGGTGTACTTGGTGACAGCCTTGGTTCCCTCACTGACGGCGTGCTTAGCCAACTCTCCGGGCAGGAGCAGGCGAACAGCAGTTTGGATTTCCCGACTGGTGATGGTAGAGCGCTTGTTGTAGTGCGCCAGACGAGAAGCCTCGGCAGCAATACGCTCGAAGATGTCATTCACAAAGCTGTTCATGATGCTCATCGCTTTCGAGGAAATGCCAGTGTCGGGATGGACCTGCTTCAGGACCTTGTAAATGTAGATAGCATAGCTCTCCTTCCTCTTCCGCTTCTTCTTCTTGTCGTTCTTGGTGATGTTCTTCTGGGCCTTGCCAGCCTTCTTGGCTGCCTTTCCACTAGTTTTCGGCGGCATTATTTCACTTCACTTCACTGCACGATTCACTGATCATAGCAGTTCAGTTTTGGTGTTCGCTCTTATACTTTTTATCAAGCAATGTTTTCAGGTCTGTGGCGACCCACCCATTACTGAACGCACAGGCAGAGTCAAAAGTATAAATTCGTGAACATCGACCCTTCGAGCTACATTCGTTCTTCGTGTGTGTGAAGTGAATAAAGTGAAATAAGAGAAAATGTCTGGTCGTGGAAAAGGTGGCAAAGTAAGGGAAAGGCAAAGTCCCGCTCCAACCGTGCCGGACTTCAGTTCCCTGTCGGTCGCATTCATCGTCTGCTCCGCAAGGGCAACTACGCCGAGCGCGTTGGTGCCGGCGCTCCAGTTTACCTGGCTGCCGTTATGGAATATCTGGCCGCTGAGGTTCTCGAGTTGGCTGGCAATGCTGCTCGTGACAACAAGAAGACTAGGATCATCCCGCGTCATCTGCAGCTGGCCATCCGCAACGACGAAGAGTTGAACAAGCTGCTCTCTGGCGTCACCATTGCCCAGGGAGGTGTCTTGCCCAACATCCAGGCTGTCCTGTTGCCCAAGAAGACCGAGAAGAAGGCTTAAGCGTTTTAACAGCGTGCCAAGTCAAACTTGTACATAGAAACACAAACTCAAACCCAAACGTCCTTTTCAGGACGACCAAACCATTTCAAAAGAAACTACAATTTTCAAATATGCTTAAGTTTAAAATAATTAATTCATAAACTATTAAATACATTTTTTTATAGTTAAAGTAAGGTGGTCGGTATAAAGTGTAAAACTAAAATGGAGCAAAAATGCAGAAAGTACAGTCGTCAGGGGACAATTCCGGTGACAAACATTAGCATTAATTTTCTTGAAAATGTTGGGTACAGTTTGCATCTTAAAAACCGGGAATTCATTCCCATCGGGACTGTTTGAGCTACCTACGGCATGATTGCCTACCTACGAAAAGCCCGACCAATTAAAATGTATTAGGCGTTATTATTCGTCTGGAATAAATATGAAATATAGCAATGAAATTTGATTTGATAATTTTTCTCTTTTATGAAATTAAATGGTGGTCCTGAAAAGGACCGATTGTTGAGTACAGACTGTACTGATTTTTAACCGCCGAAACCGTACAGGGTGCGGCCTTGCCTCTTCAGGGCGTACACGACGTCCATGGCTGTGACTGTCTTCCTCTTGGCGTGTTCAGTGTAGGTGACGGCATCACGGATCACGTTCTCCAGAAACACCTTCAGAACACCACGGGTTTCCTCGTAAATGAGTCCAGAGATACGCTTCACGCCGCCACGCCGAGCCAGACGTCGGATAGCTGGCTTTGTGATACCCTGGATGTTATCACGCAGCACTTTGCGATGACGCTTGGCGCCACCTTTTCCCAAGCCTTTGCCTCCTTTACCGCGACCAGTCATTTTTCACTCTTTTATTTTAACACTTCGAAAGTCACCACTGAACTAATGTAGAAACGCCGTCGCCGCTTCTATTTATACCAAAACTCAGCATTGCACGAGTGAGCCCGAACGATTGGCCATCTCGCTCTGTGCTCGAAAAATGAGATGGCATCTGCTGCGGCTCTCTTTTCAACCCTCCACGTTTTGCTATATAAGTAGGTAGCAACGGGTTGCTCGTTTATTGTGTTTTCAGACTCGTGAAGTGAACAGTGACAAGAAGTAATATCTAAAATGGCTCGTACCAAGCAGACCGCTCGCAAATCTACTGGTGGCAAGGCACCACGCAAACAACTGGCAACCAAGGCCGCTCGCAAGAGTGCTCCAGCCACCGGTGGCGTGAAGAAGCCCCATCGCTATCGCCCAGGAACTGTGGCTCTGCGTGAGATCCGTCGGTACCAGAAGAGTACCGAGCTGCTGATCCGCAAGCTGCCTTTCCAGCGTCTGGTGCGTGAAATCGCTCAGGACTTCAAGACTGACCTGCGATTCCAGAGCTCTGCCGTAATGGCTCTGCAGGAAGCTAGCGAAGCCTATCTGGTTGGTCTCTTTGAAGACACCAACTTGTGTGCCATCCACGCCAAGCGAGTCACAATCATGCCCAAGGACATCCAGCTGGCCCGTCGCATCCGTGGCGAGCGTGCTTAAGTTGCTTTTGACTAGCAGCCAAAGCGGCAATACATTTTGTACAAATCGGTCCTTTTCAGGACCACAAATATCTTTAAAACTGAGACTATAAATTTTCATATCTATAATTATTAACATTTTTTAAATAAAACATTCTTGCGTTTTTCTGGTTAAATTTGTCAGAATGTATACATGGAAAATAAATACGTTCTTTAAATGTGTGTAGTAAGATACTTTTAGTAGGTATCGGTACAAAATTCGAAATACAAAGCAGATATTTTTAAAAGGTATGTTAAAGACTTATTTATGAACCATTTGTATGGAAAGGTTTATTCAAACATAATCCAGTATATTTTTTAATGCATAGTTTTTGAGATCGTAATGAAATGGGAATAAAAATGCTAATACAAGCAATAAGGCAAATATTCTATTAACAAAAATATATGTATATATAAGAGATAAAAAACTTTTTTGATACACCAGATACATTTACGATATTAAAATTTCACTATTAATTAAAAATCTAAAAATTTCATTCTTAAATGTATTTAATTTCGTCTCTCCTTGGGTAATAGACTCGGGTAAACTCTAATATGAATGTTGTATGGGGGACGTAATAGGGCATTACTAAGAAACGAATCCATAAATTCCCTTCAAAACTTTATTGACTGAAAGAACTTACTTATTTTTTTAATAAAATCAACAAAAATTAATATATTTTAATATATTTATATTTTTTAGGTAGTTAAAACCATATCCGATAGTACCAAGAAAGTCGACCATATTTTAATGAGAGGACCAGTTTAAAAGTGGTCGTAAAATACTTTTTGTTGTAAAAATTGCAACTATTTTTATTGTTTCTTCAAGTAAAAGGTTCAAATTTTACGTTTTCTTAAAAATGTTTAGTATCTTTAAAATATTTAATATTTTTACACATGATTTTTAACGAAATGCTATGCCTACAAATTTAAATCTTGAACTTCAGACAGCCATACAAAATGACCCAAAGACTTATTTCACCTTTTAATAAATGTAACTGTTTTATGAAACATTTAAGAACTAAAAATATTTAAAACCTTGTATCATTTAATTACACAACACAGGTAAAAGGAGAAAATGAAATTGCACATCGAGCAAACATTGGGAGCGTAAACGAGCGCTGCCAAACACATAGTTAAAGTGCTCTCCTCCTCGATTCTCAAAAAACTTTCTTAAGCACTTCAGTATGCTGCAATTTCTATACAAACAAAAGTGTTTTTCGTTAGTTTTCGAAAAGAAATAGTGAAGCAAAATGTCGACTCTGCAGTGGCAACATCCGCGTCCCCAGTGGCTGCCCCACCAGCGCCAGTTGAGAAGAAGGTGGCCGCCAAAAAGGCATCTGGATCAGGAGCTACAAAGGCAAAGAAGGCTGCAGTCCCGCCATCACATCCGCCAACTCAGCAAATGGTGGACGCTTCCATCAAGAACTTGAAGGAACGTGGGGGCTCATCGCTTCTGGCAATCAAGAAATATATCACTGCCACCTACAAATGCGACGCCCAAAAACTGGCTCCATTCATCAAGAAGTACTTGAAGTCTGCAGTGGCCAATGGAAAGCTGATCCAAACAAAGGGAAAGGGTGCTTCTGGTTCCTTCAAACTGTCAGCCTCTGCCAAAAAGGAGCCCAAGCCAAAGGTTGCGGCTGCTGAGAAGAAGGTCAAAACCAAGAAGGTAGTCACCAAGAAAGCCGGGGCCACCGCAAAGAAAGCTGCCGGTGCTGCTGACAAGAAACCCAAGGCTAAGAAGGCCGTTGCCACCAAGAAGACTGCCGAGAAGAAGAAAACTGAGAAGGCAAAGGCCAAGGATGCTAAGAAAACTGGAGTTGTAAAGGCAAAGCCAGCAGCAGCGAAAGCTAAGCCGGCCGCCGCAAAGCCAAAGGCAGCCAAGGCACCAAAGGCCAAGGCAGCAGCGTCCGCCAAGCCCAAGAAGGCAGTAAAGAAAGCAACTGCTCCAGCTACCGCTAAGAAGCCGAAGGCCAAGACTACGGCGTCCAAGAAGTAAATTAAGATAATCTCTATTATCGCAATTTTAGATTTCGAATTCTGAAATTTGAAATTAATTTAAACAAG